GAATGCCAATAATTACGATAAATAGCGTCCCCAATGCAATACTCAAACATTGTTTGGGTCTAGCCCATGCGCAGTGGCTCCGATGCTATTTTTAAGGGCCCCAAACCAATTGAAAGCGCCAATTGAAATGAAAGCGCCAACGCTTTCAAATCAATCATTTCTGAAAGTGCATTATTATTTATTCTAATCCTGCTGTTTTGTTTTACTTCTTAATGATATCTGTTGTCCCACTCATCTCTGTAATGCCCAGTGCCTTGAGAGTAAATGAAATGAAATGAAATGAAATTTGGGCGCCAATTTGAACGCTCCCTATTGTGCTTTTGCGACGCGATAAAGGCTCATGGCTGTTCGCATTATTTGCGTCGTCGTCCCTATCGTTCTCGAAAGCAAGTCACACCTCACAGTTGATTTATTCATTCATTCTCTTCATCTCTTACTCTTAATTGTCGGAGTTGTCCTCATAAAAACGTGAATATGCCACAGTAACGTCCCCGTTACAGCACCAACTTTGGTAGCCCGCAACATAAGTGTCGAAGACCAATTAAGGTCATTATTAGGACGGCTTACTTGAGGAGTCAAGGCCGTGCGATCAGTAAAATTCGCAAAAGCGTTGTCGGCGCTCGTGTTCGTCATGGGCGCACTGCACCATGGCACGTGTGTCATGATATCGGTGAATATGTATTATCGAACGTCATAGCGGTGCTTTGAAAAAAGCATCTCATGTGCTGTAAGGTTTGACGTAAATGGACCAATTTGCAGCGTTGACGTGCTGGCTAATTGCTATAATACGTAATTTCTGTATATAAGCTGTAGGTCGAAGTAGAATTTTACGTCGACGCTGGTATACCTTTTATAAAAATAAAATGCAAGCAGTTCTCGCTTGCATTAATTTCAAGCCTCATGACGCGCAAACCTGGCAGAATAAATTGGCTACTCGGGGTCGGTATGCAGAGCCGTTATTTTTATCTCTGGAAATGAGAGGGCAGATAAGTTATAGCGTTTATGGTGGTGCATAACACGCCGGTAAATGTAATGATGCTTTGCGATTACTGTATCCAGATCTACAACAGCATTGAAATCGCAGCAGAAAGTGCAATGGAAACCCAGAGAACACAATAGAAATACTAATCGTTAAACCTACTCTACGTGAATATTAGTTGTGTTGCCACAATTAACGTCGTGTTCAAGTGCTCTCCGTCTCCACGTAGCACACACACTGTTAACTCGTATTTTTTTTTCACTGAGAGGGGGACAAAAACCGAAATGCGGACATTCTGAAGGACCTCTTTCGGTGAACTACATTTTAATATTATGTCCGGAAATGGAGTGTGTTAACGAACTATTCATAGCACTGGCTTATTTTCACCCACACTTGATATTAACAAAACACGCCCTAGTCTCAATATAATCTCTTGTTTATATTTTTATAGAGGTCGTTAGTCTTTTAAATCAAGCGGAAAAAACGGCGCTGTTCTCTTCACTCTTTTCAAATCACTGTGTTACTGGACATTAGCGTGTGACTGGCCCATCGCATCTATTGTTACTTTTGAGCTATACAACTCAACGTAACTCTCTGAATGGAAGTCGGGAATTCCCTAGGGCTCGTTTTCTGCCTGTTTGACACAACCTTAAAGGGGCCCGGTGACACTTCTTCAAGTAGCCATTGATTGGAACCACTAAAAAAAATTGGCAGATACTACGTACAGTGAGAATCGATTATATGCGAAGCACAAATGAGGAAGGCTGACATGTCACTTTAAAATTATAGCAGAGCCTTACGATGTGGACGAACTTAACACACAGTAAACACAAGTAGAAGTGTCATACGAACTCACGCAAACGCTGGAAGCTATAAGCAGAAAAAGATAGCAGGGGAGAAGAAAATGTCTCACGCGCCACGTGACCTTGAGCACTCTTTATATCTTTTATTCTTCGCAGCTTTTTAGTGACATTGCGCGTGCACGCACGCGTGGACAAGTCGTGCTATCCCGCGGTGGTCCCAGTAACTGCTAAGCATGCGATGCCCAAACTAGCCGATTGCTATAGCTGATGATTGGCCTGAGACATAGTGATTTTCAGCTGAAGCGTAATTTGTAGAGAGAAGAAAGAGCGAGTCTTAGCTGACTTTGAAAACTCATTGCAAGTCCAGGCCGTGTGCTGCGCTATAATATTTGGCACTCGTGTTCCCGGGAGCCTCTACTACCGATCGACAGCGTTTTCTGATCATGCTCAAAAAGTGTTGCAGGGCACCTTTAACAAATACAAGCCGATAATGAATGCAAGGAAGTTATATGGAACATTCATTGCACTGTTTTAAGTGTATCGTAACAATTCTAACGTATAGACGTGAAGAAGTAAAGTGGCCGAAAAGGAACCGGCCGGAACCGAATCTGGGACTTGTTCCTATACTCTATACGTTCCCTATACCTCCCTTGCATTCATTATCTGCTGTTTTTTTTTTAACGTAACTACTAGCTACCCAGACAGTCTGTGTCACATAAACAGCAATCCACCTGATTTCACTTCGCTTACACTGCTAAAAAAAAACGAACTTTGGAATAAATGATCGATCATTCATTCTACAGTAAAGGTAATCTCGCAAGATTATGCCCACCATACCTCAGAGAAAAAAGCTGGAACAATTTTTTTTTCGTGGGGAATACCCTCATAAAGATCGCGTGACATAAGAAAAGCGTGTATATGGCAGCTGTATTGGCATAAGCACCCGTGACTCGAAGCGAAAACAGTTGATCTGAGGTCAAGGCACTGAGAATGACCTAATACAGGCATGTTGAAAGTAAAAAAAAAAAAGTGGAGTAATTTTGTTTACGTACCTATACTTTGATATTCAGGGCTGGAACACAAATACACGTGACATCACCCGATCTGACTTCATCAGGTACTCTTATGTTTTCAGAGTGGATTGACTGCCGTAATATACGAGCATACAAAGCAGATTTTCTCAGTGTGTGTAGTACAGTTGCGGATCACCCCTGGGAAAAGCTAATAGTATCGGTGCCGCAAGGTGTGCGGCGCTTGCGGTAAAGCCTGCACTCGCAGAAAACGTATACGGTATACAGCAGCCCGCAGCCAGTCTGATGCACTTGTTCTGGTTCAGACGAACTGCGTATTCCATTCTCGATGTAAAAGCAATGTCCCCAGGCTTCGACACTTGAAAGGCAGTAAAATACGCGCAGGTTCGCCTGGTGGACACTGACGTTGAAATACTGCTACTCAAGAGAAAAAAAAGAAGTGTCGTTTACAGGCTACGCTGTCTGCCGTCACTGAATGACTTAATATTGAAGAAACCTACGACTGGCCAGAACATTAACTTAGGTCCTGGTGGAAATGAAAATACCATAAATGACAGGGACATATCAACACGATATCGTTAATGAGCTCGCTTCGCAGAAATTCAGGTGTCTGCGTCGGTGTCGGTGATGGCGTCGTTGGTTATAAGCGAAAAAATCATCATCGTGTGCGTGACCCAGAAATAAAAAGAAGTGATACAGGTAAAACTAATAAAAAATCTTCGGGTCCAACTTAGAATCCAATACCAGGCCGACTGCGAGGCAAGCAGGCGCTGTACCACAACGCCATGGTATTTTTTTAATGCTTCAAAAAAAGAAAGGAAATAAAAAAAAAACGAAGCTCATAGAAATGCCATAATATTGTGGAACAGAAGCGTAAAATTGTGTGCCAAGCGTCAAAACACGTGAATTGCGCATCGAGAGGCAGCGAAATCATCAGTGGCAAAAGCATCAACAAAGTTAACAGCTACAAATGTTCGAGTATTACCTCACATACAGACGTGTATTCATAGAGTTTCCTAATATACACTAGAGGGAACTCTGGCGCTTGTGTCTATGGGAGCTTCAACGCACGGCGCTTCAGTGAGCATTGGAATGATGGGTAGTACACACATTTGTCTAATATTCGTACTTCTGACCTGCTTTTGGCTCCATGTGTGTTCGGGTGGCTTCAAATGGGATATCTTGAAACGCACACTGTCACTCGTTTCGTGGTTGAGGCATGCATGGTTGAGGCATGGTTGAGGCATGCGCTGAAGTCTGAAGCCCGGTTTAGTAAGCACTTGAGAAAACGACGTGCAAGAAGTCCAGTTACGCTATTGCGTTCTACTCTTGACAGGCGAAAATCAAGCGTCCTCTTAAGTTTCTCAAGCGTCCCTCTCGCGGTTTGAGAAAGAGTATATTATTAAATTGCGTCGAAAGGTCAGAATAAAAAAAAGCCAGCAAGTCAAGCAGTCTAGCGTAAGCACCCCAATGCTCCACTATATGGCGTCTCATTCTGTTTATAACCGCACGTGGGCTGATTCTATTTTGTGCACCATAATAACTGCTCAAAATTAGAAAACGCAAATTATTGTCTATCCGCGCTCTATGCTGCGCTGATTACGAGGCAAGAGAGGTCAAGGTTGATAAGCGGTACCACCTTCGCAGGAACTAGTAGATCACGTTGAGCCACGGAGCATGAACTGCACGCATGCACACAAAAGAATGGCACACAGACACCAACTGGTGTTGTGCTGACCTCCCAACAGCTGCTGTTTACAGCATGTGATGTTTGCACTCAACTTCGTAGTCGCCACTCATAAGAAAATCCCCTTATAATTGTATAATTTGCTTTTGTAGATCGCTGTGTACGCGCAGAATGCGTCCACGTCAACACGAGAGGTTCCGCCATTTGATAGAGCTGTCATTGCGGTGTACAAGGAACATGTAAACATATGGAAGCTGCAGTGTGGGCTTGACAGTAGGCTATATTCTATGATTATACGTTTGCTGACATAGAAGATCATGACATTTGGGTATGCAACCGTGTATCACCATGAAAAAGGTTAAAAAGAAAGTGACTTCCTTCTCCATAAGCAATGAGATGCTTTTTTGTTGATCTCCAATTTCTTTTTCTTTTACGCTCTGTAAAAAAATAGTGATGAACTAACCTATGTTGCCTTGTTTTTTTTTCCTGCGCCTCCATAGCAAATGCAAGGAGCAATCAGCATCTTCGCAGCGGGAGTCACCGTAGCCATGTGTAAGTACTCGTTCAAAAGGACACTGAAAGCAACTATTAAGTCGACGTTGATCGATGAAATAGTGATCCAGAAACCTCGTAAGGGCACTCCTGTGTCAAAAAGTACTTATTTTGAAGTAGAATCACGTTTTAGTGGTCCGCATAATGTTAGCGCACTTACAAGTTACCCGCCAGATCGTCTCACGTCACTGTTGCCATGCTCAACAGTTGCCCGGCTTTACTGCGCGGCCGCCGACACTATAGTAGCAGCAGAACGAAAGCCGCTGGAGCCACAGCAGAAACAACGGCTGTCATTAGCTCCGAGATGGCAGACGTGTTTTGGTTCAACTGGGCCCCGCTAGATAGCATGACCTGTCTAGTTTAACCATCGGCCATACCATCGGCCATACCATGATGAATGCGCCGGTTCTCGTCCGATCACCTATGCTAAGCAGCATTGGGCTCGGTCAGTACTTGGGAGGGAGACCACCTGGGAACACCGAGTGCTGATGGCACCTTCTTTTCTCTGAAGCATATATCGCTGAGAGCCAATTACAGAACGAAGGGTAACTCATACTAGGTACCAGCCGGGTGACTCCCTTCAAACAGTGGCGGAGCAATTCGAGGCGAGCCCGAAAAGAGAAGCTAAGACATACGAAGAGTATGTGTCGGAGCTATGTCGCATCATGGAAAGTACATAAGGTATGTGGCGGCACAAGACCTGCACGCCACCACAGAAAACCCTGGTGGGACAAAGAAGTTGCCGCAGCATGGCATGCTCGGCGGGAAGCAAATCGGTCCCATCGTCGAGCAGTCAAAACGAAGGACGCTGTACAGACTGACGTCACGTGGCAGTACTACCTTCAGTTCAAGCGCGACATGCAGGCCCTAGTGCAGGCTAAACTTGCCAGGTTCAATGCGTTGTTCCCGCAGAAGTTGAAGGCAGAGGGCAGGAACGCGGCCCAGAAATTATGGAATTACGTCCGAACATGGGACCGGATTGAGCAGTCTGTACAGTTCATTGTAGACAGCAACGACATCCTTATCCAGGACATGAAGGAGGCCTTGACAGGACACCTGGAGGCTCTGTGTGGTTCACGTGGGTGCACGAGGGACCTCCAGTTGGATGAAGGAGACACCCAGTGTGGTGAAGAGAGGACTGAACAGGGTTCCCCAGAGGAAGGAGCCCTAAAATGGGAATTCAGTCATATCTCTATAGACCGTGCTCTGTCCCATCTCCGAGCCCAAACAGCCTCGGGACCAGATGGCATCCCATCTCGCTTACTTAAGTGCTTGGGGCAGGAGGCGAAAGAACAGCTAGCTGGCCTGTTCAGCGACATCGTTGCAGGGAGCGGTCCTCCATACGACTGGCATCGGGGCAGAGTCTCACTCATCATCAAGCGTGGAGGCAGGGCAGGGAACCTTCAAGATTACCGACCACTCACCGTCACCAGCACCATGTACAGGCTCTTTACCCATGTGGCTTAAGGACTGGATCAGTGCCTGGGCTGAATCTAGAGGGCGGCTGACAGAACTGCCGAAGGGTTTTCGCAGGAGGTCGATGACTTGAGGATAACCATTTCGTCCTCACACAGTGTGCGGAGATCGCCAGAAAAGAAGGGCGTACGCTTCTATGCTGCTTCATGAATGTGGAGAAAGCTTATGACAACGTCCCACATGACATCCTGTTCACACGCCTGGAGACACTGGGAATACCGAAAGAGCTGTTGGCGACAGTCAGGCGCCTATACGCCGGCAATAGCGTCATTGCACACGTCGCCAATGTAGAGAGTCGGCCGGTAGGCAGTCTGCAGGGGTCTTCGTCAGGGATGTCCGCTTTCGCCGATTCTATATCTGCTATACGTGTCGGGCATGGAACAAGCATTGCTCGAGTCCAGCCCGGGGTTCCGTCTGAAGTCTAGCACAAGCGGAATCGACGAAAATGGACGGCTGCCCGGCTTGACGTTTGCGGATGATGTGGTCCTAATGGCGGAGACCAAAGTGGACCTGCAGGCTCTCTAGACATCTGTGCCGCAGAGATGACTGAGCTGGGACTACGCTTCAACGCGAAGAAAACCAAGGCTGCACCGTTCAGCGGGCAACATGGCTGAGGCGGCAGACCTCAAGCTTGGTGGTGAGAGCATCGCCACTGACACCGCCTATAAGTACTTAGGCGTGCTACTGTGTTCCGAGGACAGTATATACGGCCGGCAAGAAGTCCATGTCCGCTAAGTCGCGCTGCGGGCACAGTGCATCCTCCGGCGCCGCATATTGTGGGGCTGCAACCGTTTCATCATGGTCCGGGACCTACGGAGACTAGTTCACTGTCCCCTGCTTGACGTTCGCAAATGCAGTAGTCTGCATGACGGCAGCAACTAGGGAATGGCTAGAGCGGCGACAGCGAGAAGTAGGCCGCACAGGTGCTCGCATGCCATGGAAGGGTGGCAAATGAGGCAGTCCCGGGGGACATGGGCTGGTCTGGTTTTGAAGCTCGGGAGGCATCCAGCAAGCTATCGTACTGGGGCCGCCTGCAGTTCATGAGTTGAGACCGGTGGGCACGGCGGGTATTAGAATACCTTTTGGCAACGTGCATCCGTACAACCTGGGTGAACCGGGTGTACCGCCTGGAACAGAAGTACATAACCTTTACGGAACCTGTACAGGCTGAAACCACAAGGCGATATACCAAGGAAGTGCGAGAGCGGGTTCGTGAGAAGGAGAGGAAAATGTGGCGGCACGCAATGAGTGTCAAAACCATCCTCTAACTACACCGAACCTACAAGACACCATCGACACAGTTCATTTGTACGACAACGGCACCGGGAGTTCACTTCTTTTCGAGGCTCGCGCAGGCGCGCTCCAAACCCTCGCCTACAGAAGAGCGTTCGACGACGTGGTGCTTTCGGTGTTGTATCGCGCGTGTGGCAGTGCGGAGGAAACAACTGCGCACATTGTGCTCTAGTGCGGCCAAATAGGCCTCCCGGGGACGGAGCCATTGCACACAGCACTGGGCTTTGCGGGTGAGGATGGTGTGATTAATTCCACAAGCAGTGAAGGAGACGATGCGGCGTCTCGAGCGCTGGAGGGCAGTGGCTGTCTCGTAGCGAACACTGCGGGACAACCACTGGGTGGCACAGTGCAGTGACGTGTGTAGCACTAGGTGGCGAAACACTGGGTGGCGCGGTGCAGTGACAGTGTAGCAGTGGTTACGAGCTCGAGAAGAGCGTGATTTTTTGTGTGGTTTTTTGTCACTGATTTATATGCCAGGGTGCCACTACACCCAGCCTGCTAAAAAGAGAACAGCATCAAATCGCCGCCATCATCATCATCATCATCATCAACCAGGAGAATATTGAATTTTTGAAACACTGGCGCCATCTCCATAGTAGCATCTGGCGTCCCATTCAATCAAACAGAAACGAAAAAAGCAGCATTTTAACACGTCTCCTGATGCACGGAAGGTCCTTTATTTAGTGCAGGTAGTTCGATTACTAGTGAATAATTGTAGGTAGTTTGTCTGACGTCATCGCATCATTTCGAGAATGCCCTATTGTAGCGCATGTGTTCACGTGCATTTACCTTGATTCCTTGATAACTAGGCTTCTGCTAGTGATAATATTGCCGTTTGAGAGGCTGTCATACATTTAGCTTTCACTCTCACGTAAATTGTTATTTGACTTCATCCCTTAAGGGTCACTTTGAAGCGCCGTAAATGAAGGCGCATCATCAGATCATGCTGAACACTGTCCGTTAGTTCTTCGCTGACATTATCTTGACCGTCTACGCGTGGTTCTTGCTATATAAGCGAAGTTTTTTGCAAATTTTAATATGGTGAAGAAGTGTTAGTAGTGATGAATGATCTTGTGAAAAAAATTTTTTTCGGTCTCAACCGCGTCCCGAATGCACTGCGGTGGGAAAATGTGTCTAGTGTGTGGCAATAAACAAAATGGTGCGTGGCTGAGTTGCCAAGGCACCGTTCTGCAGACCAAGGGGTCACTGGTTCGAATCCCCTGTCGGGTACTTCAGAATTTATTTCTTCTGACTCATTTTTCTTCGTGCCTTTTTATTATAAGTGTGCATACTGTTATGAATTTGGCTCTATCGCGATGGTAGCGGTGGCGAAGAGCGGTGAGCAGTCGAGCGGGCTTCGCTGAAGCCTTAGCCCGAAGGTGAAACAGGGAGGCAATCCGTTTGGAAAACAGCAACAAAAGTAGCGTTTACTGTAGCAGGTTGTCGTTTTACAGAGCCAGCCAGCACGACAACGTCGGCTGGGGCAAAATCTTCTAACATGGGGCCGGCTCAGCCTTAAATAGCGTCCTTGGTCCATTCTCTCGGACCAGTTCTTGGGCTCGGAGGGGGAGATGTAGCCATACCCGGAACTGCAAAGTGGCCCGGCGGAGGAAACGACGTTATCCCCGGACTGCACGGTTCTCCTGCACAGAAGGCGGCGCTGGGAGGGGGGGGGGGAGACAGTTCGTCGAAACAGGGCTCGATCTCGTGAGACGTGCTGCCGAACGAGGAACATGTCGGTGGCACAACAGCACCCCCGCCACCAGACAATGCATCCGGAGTTTCGAGCCGTCAGCGCGGCTCGGAAGGAGGGATGCTGGTTGACCGTCGGTAGCCGTTCCGCTCACTCCGCCTGTTGAGATTTCCATAGGCCTGCAGAGGGTCACTGGAACGACGGAGTCGAACACAAAGCCGAACCACTCTGGCCAAAGCAAGCACCCTCCAAATGCTGATCAAATCGCCAGACCAGCAGGAACCAAATGTTTCCTCGAGATTACGCTGGGCTAACAAATAGCATCACGAGCAACGAATCTCGGGAGGAATACACAATGCGGACACACCTTTAGCTAAGTGTCAGTGCATGACACCGCTAACCAAACAGAATTTTTTTCTTTTTTTTTGTGAGCGATTCTCGATTGTGACCCGGGCAGATTAGGGACGATCGAAGCTGCCGAGGTTAACTCAATTTGGCCCCGAATCTACAATTTAGAATAACAAGCAATCCTGAATCACGCCCATTGGCGTCGCCTGCAAGCGTCAGATTGTTAAACATAACAAAGTTTGTCATCCTACCAGCAATCATTCAATGCGCGCCGCCAACAATCATCACGACAAGAGATAACACGCCCGATAAGGTAAGAAAGTAACACTAAATTTTAAACTTGCGCGCGTTACACAAAACAAAGTGAAAATTAACCTACACTGACACGCTTACCAACACGTAATGCCAAACAAAGAAGGTATTTTAAACAGGGCTTTTACTCAGCCTTATCTGTTAAAATATTATACATTAACTGTTACCTTTGAAATATTATGAAAACAAAAGTAATCAAACAAACATATCAATATTATCTGCTTCTGCGACAAAAGTAAAACTTACAAAAATTTAGATCCATTTCTTGCTCGTCGGCAGAAGACAAAACTAGAAAAAGTTGTTCTCAAAATTAAATACAAAAAATACACTTTTCGTATTAGCGAGGTGGCTTTCTCTCAAGCGAACTCTGGGGAGTCGCGCACTCCACAGCTTCTGAGGGTTGCGGTCTGGACAAAAGGACGACGCATCAACCTGTTCGCCGAACTCAGTAGCAGCGACTTTTGACCCGCAGCCGCTGAACTCGAGGAAAGGGGCATCTGCACTGCATCGTTTACGCCACCCGTTCGACCAGTAACCCTTCCTCCACGGTGGGGAACAACCGCCTTTGTTACAACTCAGGCGTGCGCGATGCTTTCCCTTGTGGTTGCCTCTACGCAGCACCAAAATTGATGAGACCAGGCGAAGATGTCGGCGTCCGAATTTTCCTGAAAGTCGGTTTTTCTTGACGCGCTTCCCGCCTAATGTCGATCCTCGTGATGGTCTGAGCTTCAAACATTTCCCAGAGGGCCCTGTCGCGATCCTACGCCTAGCCGTGAACATGGCGTCTCGACGAATGATGTCATGGCACCTAACAGCAGTTTTAGCACTCTTGGCGCCCGTCGTCTTTACCACGTTACGCTTACGCCGACGCCTCTTTCTGTCGGGACTTCTCGCAATACTGGCAGCCTCGACACACTTACTTCCAAGTGTGCTGCCTTTGACAAGTACTCCCGAAGCTCCACACTGGTTATCTAGCTTATCCTCGGGCCCGTTGCTTGCTGCCTCTGCTTGGGACAGAACGGGAGTCCCGATGCCTTTAAAAGCAACTAACTCGCCTAAAGAGCTTTCGATCGGTGGGGGTTTATCGCTGTCGTGGTTAGCCCTTGTTCTATGCCCTTCGAAGTCAGCCTCGTGCTCTCTTTTAAGAGCTTTATTCTGTAGCGCTTTATCTCGCGCATCCTGCTCAATATTCTGTCGACAGGCGTCAACCTGTAGCGCCTTACGACTCGACTTGTCAAACTCTTTTTGATGCGATGCATCTGGATCATGTGTGCTGTGAAGCGGCTCCGTCTCTAGCGCTTCGCGATGTGCCTCGGCGTCCTTAGCCGTGCGATGGGCCTCGGCCCCTAACTCCTCGCGGTGCACCTCAGCGTCATGCTCTCTCTGGCGCACTTCGGCGGCTTGTGCTTCGCGACGGGCCTCAGCCTCCATAGCTTTTCGGCATGCCTTATCTTTACGCGCTTCTCGACGCGCTTCTACTTCTAGCGCTCTTCGGCGAGCCTCGTTTTCACGCGCCTCCAACTCCATCGCCTTACGCCGCGCCTCATCTCGCTCTCTCTGACGCACGTTGGCGTCCTGCGCTTTGCGATGGGTCTCAATTTCTAGCGCTTTGCTGCGCGCTTCAGCGCTGTACTTGTATGCTCGACTTTCACAGTCGGCCGTACTCATAGCAGCAAAGTGGCGGAACAAAGCGTATTTAACCCTATCAAAGTCATGCGCTTCCTCGGCGGATAAGCGCTCCAAAACGCTTGCGACTTTGCACGGAAGCAACGTGGCAAGCTTCTCCGACCATAAGTCTCGGCCAACACCAACATCGTCACAGACCTCTTCAAAATTAAGGAGAAAAGACACGATGTTCTCGTCCATTCTGAAGGGTCTGAGTCGGTATTGTGCTCGCTGCCACTTAATCGCTTCAATTTTATGATCAAGCTCTTCCATTCTGAGAGCATGCTCTCTCCTTTTTCTGCTCTCCTCGGCCTTCCATTGTTCGCGCCTTTGAGCTTCTTCGGCCTTCCGCTGTTCCTCACAGATGAGCTCCCAAAAGTCGTCAGCTTCCTCAGCCGTCACATTCTCTGCCCGCATCACCTCGAGAATCGCTTCCCTTGTTTTAGCGGACCCGGTGGAAATCCCCATGGCTCGACAAATTTCGAGGAGGTCCTGCACCAGGTACTGCTCCATCGCGATCTCGTTTCTCGTTATGCTCTGCTATTGATATTCACCGTACTCTAAAGCTAATCTCATGGTTTAGAGCACGTGAATATTAAATTATAACCAACAAAACAAAACAAAACACTCTCCTAACATCTGCCTGTGCTAGAGAGGTCTGGCGAAATGAACAGTAAACGTTGGGCACTCACCCAACCAAAGTAGCCGACGATGATCCAACTCGTGGCTGCCGTCGAACAGTGTCAGGCCTTCAGGGATCCGGTCCAACTTGCCAATGTTGAGATCCGGGGTTGCTTTTCCCAGCTTGCCGAACGATGTGAACAGGGTAGCGTATCGCAGCGTAGCCAAACGCTATCACGGCGGTCGTCCTCGTGCTCGGAGATCCGATCCAACTTTTCAGCCGTTGAGATCGGGGTAGCGGGTCCCAGAGCAGCAAAACGTTGAGGACAGGGGTCTGATCCAGCGTGCCGAACGTAGGATATCGTATCCCGTAGCTGCCAACCACTGTTATGAATTTGGCTCTATCGCGATGGTAGCGGTGGCGAAGAGCGGTGAGCAGTCGAGCGGGCTTCGCTGAAGCCTTAGCCCGAAGGTGAAACAGGGAGGCAATCCGTTTGGAAAACAGCAACAAAAGTAGCGTTTACTGTAGCAGGTTGTCGTTTTACAGAGCCAGCCAGCACGACAACGTCGGCTGGGGCAAAATCTTCTAACATGGGGCCGGCTCAGCCTTAAATAGCGTCCTTGGTCCATTCTCTCGGACCAGTTCTCGGGCTCGGAGGGGGAGATGTAGCCATACCCGGAACTGCAAAGTGGCCCGGCGGAGGAAACGACGTTATTCCCGGACTGCACGGTTCTCCTGCACAGAAGGCGGCGCTGGGAGGGGGGGGGGGGGGAGACAGTTCGTCGAAACAGGGCTCGATCTCGTGAGACGTGCTGCCGAACGAGGAACATGTCGGTGGCACAACAATACGTATACATATCCGGGGAGTGATGGCGACGGCAACGGCGAAAATCCCTCGATAGTGTCTATGTAATTTATATCGCCAAAAAAAAGAGAAAGATGAAGAGAAACAAAAGAAACAGTTTTCGGCCGATCCTCTTTAGTGAGTATGAGCCATGTTGAAGGTTACAACAGGGGTAGCCAGCTCCGTACTTCGTTCAGGCTTGGCACCTCTGGCGCGAAGCTGCCTCAACTTGTTTCTCTTTTTTTTTACTCGGAGCACCTTTGCCAAAAGGACGTTGTTGATATGAAGTCGTTAGTCATGTACTGAAACATCCCGTTATTTCCTCTATTGCAAGTTTTTCGTTCGTCCAAGTGAAAAATGCTAACTGCATGTCGTAAATGCGTGTTCGCTTACACAGCCTTCCACCTGCCGCTTGCATGGAGCTGCGTGGCCATCGGTTTTGCCGGCACCATTTACACGGCGCTGGTAAGCTGTACACCATTTCTCGTGTAGTTGTTTAGCCCGTGCTCACATCTTTACAGTTTTGTTATATTGAGATATTAGTTAAACACGAAGAAAGGCACGAGAAATGTCTGCAGTTAGCATTTATTGACCCTGCTGATTGTCCAAGAAAGTTTAAGGTGGCGCTTGTCATTGCGCACTTTTTGCCGAAAGTCTGTCTGTTGCTATTATTATTATTATTATTATTATTATTATTATTATTATTATTATTATTATTATTATTATTATTCGTATCGGCAATGTGACACAAGCAATACCTGAAAAAGACTGTTCGAATTCATTGCGTAAAATTGTTCTACTGACGATTCAAATCTTTCTCCTTTAATAGTACGCCGTCGTTTAAACCATCCTTCCATAAAGTAGTCGTGTCATGATACTTCTGAAACTCTCAGTTCTAGGAAGTCATTACCCCCCTTTCTCACTTCATTGTACCATTTATTAAACCTAGATATGGCAAAGATATTAGAAAGGTCTACGTCCCAATTATTTTTATTCAGCTCACCGACAGCGTTCTTATTTCGCAACAATAAAACATGCTGTACGAACCATCTTAGTCATGTTAACGCTGCGTAATTTGTCCTACTATTCTTTATTACAACTCGTTTGATACTTCGAATAAAGTACTTATATGTGTGCTATCCTAATCTTCATATTTTACTATTAAAATAATCGCCTTGCTACTGTTGGCTCGATCGTTTTACGTTAATATCTTTCAATATAGTGTAAATTAGATATTTGCCCTTGTTTTTTTTTTCCTTTTATGTTAAAATACGTGACAGACTTTTCAATATGCATTGCTGTGTGTCATTTCTCATTTGTCGATGTGCTGAGCCTTGTCCTGCCAGCTAACTTTCCTCTTTTACAGGCCTGTTTTTTATGATGTCTTTCTCAAAATGACGGCAAAACTATTATTAGTATAGCACAAGCAGTTGTAGTAGCAGCAGCAGTAGTAGTAGACAGCAAAAATAACAGCAGTAGCAGCAGCAGTAGCAGCAGCAGTAGCAGCAGCAGTAGCAGCAGCAGTAGCAGCTGCAGTAGCAGCAGCAGTAGCTAGCGAGCGGGCAATATTACTTTCATGTGCTAGGTAGGGCAGCAACCACAGCAGCGAGCGACAGGCGAGCAATATTATTTGCATGTGCTAGACAGAGCAGCAGCAGCGAGCGACAAGTGAGCATGTGCTAGACCAAGCAGCAGCAGCAGCAGCGCTATAGGGCGAGCAATATTACTTGCATGTGCTAGATAGTGCAGCAACAGCAGCTGCAGCAGCAAGCGATAAGCGAGCACTATTACTTGCATGTGCTAGATAGTGCAGCAACAGCAGCGGCAGCAGCAAGCGATAAGTGAGCACTATTACTTGCATGTGCTAGATAGAGCAGCATCAGCAGCAGCAGCGAGCGATAAGTGAGCAATATTACTTGCGTGAGTTAGATAAAGCAGCTGCAGCAGCGAGTGACAGTGAGCAATATTACTTGCATGTGCTAGATAGAGCAGCATCAGCAGCAGCATCAAGCGATAAGCGAACAATATTGCTTTCATGTGCCAGATAGATCAGCAGCAGCAGCAGTGTGCGAGCGAGCGAGAATATTACTTGCATGTATGGAATAGATAGATAGATAGATAGATAGATAGATAGATAGATAGATAGATAGATAGATAGATAGATAGATAGATAGATAGATAGATAGATAGATAGATAGATAGATAGATAGATAGATAGATAGATAGATAGATAGATAGATAGATAGATAGATAGATAGATAGATAGATAGATAGATAGATAGATAGTGACATGTTAAACACACATGTGCAGGGTGGTCTCCGTGCCGTGGTGTGGGCTGACGCCGTGCAAGGCGTGCTCATTCTCATCTGTCCGCTCACCATCCTGGTGAAGATCCTGTACGACTCCATCTTCGACGTCACTGCCGACGCATCAGTCGCCAGGCGCCCGTTCAGCGACATTGACATAAGGCCCTACATGTTTCGGTGAGCTTTGCGAAATTGCGGGTGTCGATAGCATATTTCATACGTTATAAGTACGCCATTCTTCGTATCATTTAGGGGCGACGCACTGGTCCGTCCACGTCCGTCTGTCACGGGAAGATTCAAAGATCTGACACGCACACGCGCACGCACACGCACACGCGCGCACGCGCACACACACGCGCACACACACACATACACACACACACGTGCGCGTGCACGCACACAATACGTTTAACAATAAACTAATATCAGTCACAATTGTGACGGAACAATATAAAACACTTACAAGTACAAACCTTTTTTCTAGTCAGTGACTTCAATGCTGGCATTAATTAAAGACCTTAGGAGCGTGCTTTGTCGTCTACTGTTTATGTCATGCTGTGTCACTTAATTGTCATCATTAAGGCAACGTTCGGGTAACGTATGTGAGACACAAAACAAAGTTTAACAATGCACTAATATGAATCACAATTGTAACGAGGTAGTATAAAGCACCTACTAGCACAAACCCTTTATACAAGTCGGTGACTTCCACGTAGACGCTATAAACCTTATGATTGATTGATTGATTGATTGATATGTGGGGTTTAACGTCCCAAAACCACTATATGATTATGAAAGACGCCGTAGTGGAGGGCTCCGGGAAGTTCAACCACCTGGGGTTCTTTTACGTGCACCCTGATTTGAGGACACGGGCCTACAACATTTCTACCTCCACGCTATGGACCTTATGACCTATAGTCTCACCCAGCCGCCATCACACACTTCGTGGAGATATGTGGATTTTTTCTTTTCGTCCACCTGCTTTTTTTACGCCCAACAATTCTTTCCACCTTAAAGGATGACTGCTGTATCCCATCTAGCGTAACAAGTAGGAATGTGAGGATAATAAAGTTCCCGTTTGAAACGATTTTAAAGCGAATAGTCATTCGCTCAAATTTTAACTCGAATAGTTCCAATTGTCTATATCACAAATTTAATGAAAAACGGGCAATTTAATCATGACCCAACTAACTTGCACAGCATCTTTAAGAATGAGAAATGGGTATGTGCGAATTCAAGTTTATTGGTTAAAAGTGAAGTAGAGGCAACTTTGAATAGTAGCAAGATTTGAATAGCAGTATTGTAGAAGCTGTCAGTGGCAAAATACGTTACATTTAAAAATTTCATATGCTTAGCAAATATAAGCCCCTGTAACATGCTTTTAACCTTGAAAAATAAATAATTGAGGTTATAGTAGTATATGCATTTAATCTTCAAGTGTGGCTTCACGACAATGCAGATTTTTTGTATATATAGGTTGTTTTTCCAAGTAACTTAAATTAGTGATAAAGCGAATTCGAGTGCTCCAATATTCGTTCGAATATTCGAAGTGCTTGAAGATTCGTCCATGCTTCGTAACTAAGTAAGCATAACCATCGCAATCATTGCTTTCATTATCAGTGAAAGAGCACATCGACAAAGTGACATAGAATGAATTGCCCTCCATTTGTGAAATCGAATAGACAGAGTTCTGTTATAAACGTGTTTCTGCGAATGAGCAACCATTCAGCGTGCACGTGTTTCACAGATGCACATTTCACCGGTTTTTTGATGCGCCGCATTTAGATAGAACGAACAAACTAAAGCACCGTAGACTTGTTAGTTAGCTGAGCTTTTGTTTCAATAGAACGTTTTAGATTGGTGCGCTCTGAAAGAGTTATTGGCTTGCTTTAACTTTGCCTTCACGTATTTACACTGATTTAGTTGTAAATGTGATCACTACGTTTTGTTCCCATGACAAGTTAACTTTTACGCGTGATACATTTTGATTATTCTTTTTGACGAAAGCTCGCGTGCTGTGACAGTTATCATAAATTCAAGCATCTCGTGTGCTCATTTGAACACGGGGTTCCTTACACAGAGTCTTACCGTTACTGTTTAGATTTCCAAAGCATTAAAGTTGTCATGAATAACAGTGCTGTTTTTCGAACCACAAGAAGAGAGAGAGAGAGAGATAAAGGTTCAAGGAAAGGCAGGGAGGTTAACCAGACGCACATCCGGTTTGCTACCCTGCACTGGGGAAGGGATAAAGGGGAGAAAAGAGGTTGCAGAGAGATGAGAGGTACACACAATCACGAGCACACTCGGGGAGCACACACAGTCTACAGACGGTCGCTCAGGTTTGTTGACTTTAGGTAAAGTAGCAGTGCTTTTGTTGCTTTCTGCGCAACTGAGGCAGATGCCCAAGGTCCTAGTATCTTTTGCACACAAAATGGTCCGGGGTCAAGTTGATTCAAAACCATCCGGAGCTGGCATCGCTGTGTGTCGTAGCAAGCGCAGCTGCACAGGACGTGTTCGATGGTCTCTTCAGCTCCGCAGTAGTCGCATGTAGGAGTGTCTGCCATACCAATGCGAAAGGAGTACACCTTTGTAAATGCAACACCCAACCAAAGGCGGCATAACAGTGTCGCATCGGAGCGGGAAAGTTGTGATGGTAGCTTAAGCTTGAGCGAAGCATCCAGTTCATAATATTGACACCTTTGGAAGCTGGTAGACGACCAGAACGTGCGTGTGAGATCTCGAGCCAGCAGGTAAAGTTGTCTTGCTGCATCATTCCTTGATAGAGGAATCGGGACTACACGGGTTCCTTCATGGGCTGAGCGGGCTGCATCATCGGCTAATTGATTTCCGGTAATACCGATATGTCCAGGCAGTCATTGATATATAATATTGACGCGTGTGTACTGGTGGACCAAAACGACAATAAGGGGATTTGGCGGACACCAGGTAGTGGAGCTCTTTCTGATTGAAGATAAAGAAGGCGATCTTGCTGTTTGGCTGCTGAGAGTCCCTGTGTCAACGTTTATCTGCCTTTGGTTCACGCTGTACCATGACAATATCATGCCCTCGTGCTAGAGCTTCATGATGGCAATGTCTTATTTCTTGTACCAATTGGTCATGACTCCTCCTACGCATGGCAGACTGCAAACTCTGAAGCGCTGCCTTCGAATCACAGAATATGACCCATTTTGCTGGACGTTCTTGAACGAGATATTGTAAAGCAGCCCTTATAGCAGCAAACTCTGATGCCGTAGATGTAGTCATATGCGACAACTTAAACTTGATTGTCATTGCTGCAGCCGGAATTACAGCGGCACCCGATGAGCTGCTGGACAAGACGGACCCATCAGTGTATATCTGCGTTCGGTCTAAGTACAACTCATGTAATAATAGCAGTGTTGCTTGCTTCAATGCTACTCTGGAGTGATTGCTTTTCTTTTTGATTCCCGGAATTTCTAGACGTACTTGCGGCTGGTTGAGGCACCACAAAGGACATGTCATTCTCGCAGCTGGCGTATATCCTGATGGAATGCTGTTTAGGTGCTTGGCTATGACGTCTGAAAACGTAGCACGTGGTCTTCCGGAGGGTAGAAGGGCCAAGTGGTGTCCGGGGACACGGCTAGCATGTCGAATGTGCGCTCTGAGGCAATTAAAAACTCTATATGTCCTGACCGGATGGTCTTTGGCAAGCATAATTGTGGCATAAGTAGAAGCGCATCGGGGTAGTCCTAGGCAGATACGCAGTGCCTGAGCCTGCAAACTCTCCAATGAATGAGTATTGGATTTGCAAGTGTTAGTCAGTACCGGCAAGCTGTAGCGCAATAGACACACAAATAGAGCCCTGTACAGCTGTAGCATGGAGGCCACAGAAGTTCCCCATGCTTTCCCGCACATGAATTTCATTATATGCACAATAGATAGCAGTCTCTTCTTCAAGTACGCACAATGTGGGCTCCACGAAAGACTTCTGTCGATTATTATGCCCAGGAAACGAGGCGTCCGTGCATATTTGACACCCTGCCCATTGATGTAAAGAGGGTATGGCGTCATTGGTTTGCGTGCAAACGCCACTAACGCGCACTTCACAGTTGATATAGTTAAGCCTTGCTTCTGAAGGTAGGCTGTTGTGAGGGTGTCTGCCCGCTGTATTCGTGCACGCACCCGAGGGCGAGTAACTGCAGCACTCCAGAGGCAAATATCATTGGCGTATATGGATAGGCACACCGACTTTCGCAGAACCTTCACCAGACCAATGAGGGCAACATTGAACAATGTGGGGCTTAAAACACCTCCCTGAGGTACTCCGCAGTAGGTGTAATGTTCAGCAGTTGCACCCTCATATGTTTCCACAAAGAAACCCCTGCCAGTTATATAATCTTTTATCCATTGAAACATTCGTCCACCAATGCCCATTGCTGCGAGAGAAGTGAGGGTAGCATCGTGAGCTACATTATCATATGCACCCTTCACGTCAAGAAAGAGTGCCACTGATATGCGCTTGCGACTTTTTTCTTGTTGCACAAATGTCGATAAGTCAAGGACACAGTCGATGGAGGAGCGGCCCCGACGAAAGCCTGCCATGCAAGAAGGGTATTTGGTGTATCGTTCCAAGTACCACTCGAGACGAAATTACTATTCTTTCCATCACTTTTCCGAGGCAGCTTGCGAGGGCAATAGGGCGATACGCTGTCAAATCCAATGGTGATTTTCCCGATTTCAAAAGTGGTATTAATCGACTTATTTTCCATTCTCGGGGAACACTGCCGCTGAGCCAGGAGTTGTTGAAGCATGTTAAAAGTTCTTTTCTGGCTTTTTGTCCAAGGTGTCCCAACGCACTATAAGTAATACCATCAGGACCTGGCGATGACATGCGCTTAGAAGTGACTAACACACCTTCCAGTTCTTCCATGGTGAATGGAATGTCCATTTCTGGTAATCGCGTCTCAGGAACGATCACGGCGTCGATGCTCTCGTTCATAATATTCCCGGCAACTCTCGTGCAAAATTCTTCAGCCACCTCGAGTTCTGCTTTTCATGATGGAGTGCCAAAGCTTTAAAAGGGTGCCGTTGTTGCGGAGAGGAGCGAAGACCACGAACTGTTCTCCAGATATATGACAGCGGTTTATGAGGGTCTAGAGATTCACAGAATGCTTTCCAGCGTTCGCTCTCCAGCTTGTAAATGCGTCGTTGAATCTTTTTCTGGAGCCGCCTTGCTTCCCTCAGATCGTAAATTGATCCTGTGCGTCTGTATCGTCGTTCAGCACGCCTTCGTATAGCTCGTAATCTTTCCAGTTCGATGTCGAACTGTGTTATTTTAGACTAAAATGGTAATTTACATTTGGACGCTTGCATAGCTTCTGCTATGGTATTTTCCAGGCTGCAGGTGAGGCCTTCTTGGCAAGCGTCCTCTACACGCAATGTAAACATCGACCAGTCACTGCCAATTACAACACCGGAAGAGAAATTCTTTATGATACCATCAATCGTCACGTAGGTGGGTATGTGATCACTTCCATGAGTCTCAATATCGCAAAACCACTTAACTTTGTGAGAGAAGCACCGTGACACCAATGTCAGGTCAAGGCAACTGCCATACGTGAGATCCCGCAGATATGTGGGGGTACCATCGTTCATGATGGAAAGGTCGTAATTGGAAGCAAATGTAACAATGTTCCGGCCCCTGGCATTCATCCTAGTGCTCCCCCAAAGCATGTGATGGGCGTTGAAGTCACCGGTGATGATCCAAGGCCCATCGGTCCTCATTAGGATGTCTTTTAATCTGTCGCAGTCATTTTGCGATGACGGAGATATATATCCACCAATAAGCGTCAACGAAACTGCAGTCTTCTTTACACGAAGACACACGTAATGATTGTCGTCGTTTGAAGTTATTGGGTGCGAAAAATAAGTCGTCTGTGCGAATGTAAACAATTACTTTGCTTCGTTCTTCGCAAGCGGCTGAATAAAAAGCTTCATAACCGGACAATCTATAAGGCGTTGATACGTTTGGTTCACATATGACAAGTATAAGGAATTGATTGCGCCGAACAAATTGGCGAAAGTCCGAGATACGGGACTTCATGCCTCTGGCATTCCACTGAAAAATCGACGCACTTTTACCTTCAGTGCGGAAGATGAGATTTTGTTGAGCCATTGTGCTTATACGACGTTAGCAAGAACTGGATTCAGTGCATCCAGTATTTGCAGTGCACTCTTAGCAGACGAAGATTGTATGCTGCTCAGTAGCGTGTGAATCGTGGCAATTCATGATTGCACGATTGCAGTCACTTGCCTGTCTTGGTTGGAAAGATCTCGAACCGGGATCGCGGACTGGCCGTCATTCTTCGGTTCGCTTGATGCTGCTTCCCTTTGAAGTGCAGGCCACTCTGTCGCAGTTAGGGTATGCTCACTGGCTTTGTCCTTTACAGCCTTTCTCACGGCATGTGGTCTGGGAGGCAAAGGAGGTGGTACTGATGAGGGATCTGGCAAACGTGTCGAGAAGGTAGCAGGCGTCCTTAAAGACCGACGTCGACGTGAACGACGCCTTCTGACTTTAGCTGCGGCTTCTCGATGAGATGAGTGATCGCGCACCATCTCCTTCAAGATGGCAATTTCCTTCTGAATCCGCGGGCAGTCCTTCGATGTGGCTTCATGGGATCCATTGCAATTAGAGCATTTCTTGACAGTTGCGACGCACTTATCCGCTTCATGAGGCTCGGCGCAGCGGTGGAATACCACTGAATTCTCGCAGACGCTGCTCACATGTCCAAGTTTCATGCATTTACGGCACTGGAGAGGCTTCGGAATGAAAGGCCGCACAGCATGTCTGAAGTACCCCACCTTCACATGAGAGGGGAGTGATGTGCTCTTAAACGCAATCTTCATACAGCGAGACTTGCCTAGCCTGGTGAAATCAACAATTGGAGTATCAGTTGTTTACTTGACAAGAAATTGTAAGTCATTATCGGAAATAGCCACATCTATGTCGTAGATCACGCCGGTTACTACATCACATCCCAAGGGAACATGAGAGCGCACCTGGTTGCCATCCAAGTCAGTTACACATCGCAGAACGCCCAACGTACTTGCGTGCAAAACGTCCACAGCCAGTATATTCTTTCTGGCGTTCACTCTTATGTCCGTGATCTCATTTGGCACGAGCGTTTCCAGAGACCTCGACACAGACTGTCTGTTAAGGCGTTTCATGCTGACGGTAGGAAGTGCAGGCAGAAACAGGATGGTATAAGTGTTCGATTTTGGCGCTTCACTTACAGTTTGAATTGTTGAGGATGAGGATGTCCTCATGTTCCTCCTCTTCGCTTTGTAGCTCAGCACAGGTTGGAAACCACAAGAAAAGTTATGACAACATGCAGGGGCCTAATTCACAAAATTTATCTTTCATAAGAGATTGATTCTATTGGCCAGCCAGCTGCGCTAATTGTATGTGCGGATCGCGATCAGGTGAAATTTTTTCTTAAGAAATTTTTTAGCGCGAAATGTGTTTGTGAATATGGGTCCTGTTCATGTTTACTGTGGACCGTGGGCTAGGAGTTATTTAACATAAGTGAACTGTTGTGTCAATTTAAATAATCTAAAATAATTAATTAATAAATCTTTCCTGGATTATTGAAACATCGCTATAGCTTACTCAGAAATATGTTATGCATATTGAATGCATGCGCAAAATCTTGTGCATATCTATCAGAGTTTGAACAATTGAACTCAGATAATCCAGAGTGACTCATTGGGCTTTGTAATAGCTTCGGTGGGAAGTTTGTCTTTGGATTGCTTGTGCGCCCTCTTCTTTTGTCGTCTTGTTCCAAGCGTACAATGTCTAGTAAGCGCATACTCGCAGGACAAGCCTGGACTTCACTTCCGACGAGAACATGTGGGCATGCTCAGTCGGCCTGCTGGCCAGCCACATCTACCGGGTCGCCATGGATCAGATGGTGGTTCAGCGGTATGCAGCCGCCAGGTCGCTGCCTGAAGCACAGAAGTGAGCATCAGCGTCGTAATTTTGTTATAACGCTAGCTTCACATGCAGTCACAGATTTAACAGGCGAGCGGATGCGCATCTGCCATAGTTATCCCATTTTGTAAACTGTAGGAGGGTCGACTGATGGTCCAGTTTCAGGTCTAACATTATATGAAGAAGAGCAAAGGTCGGGAGTAGTTGATTGTACGTCGCTGAACTTGGGAGCGTGCTACGTAAGCATTCACCATTAAAATAAAAGGAAAGAAACGACGTAATCGATGTTTGTCCACTTTCGCTTTCTCGCACATACGTTATTTTGTGTGTGTTTCATCAGCGCACTGTTAGTTCACATATTATGGTAGGTTAGCGCAAAGTTAGAAAAGCACCTCGACATCTTCAACAAAGACGAGGACTGGCGCAGCTTGCACAAAGTTCCCCGATCGTTGCTGTAATCGGTTGGCGTGCGTCCTCTATAAAATATATCTACATCTGAGCCCCCTTTGCCAAGTAGGAGAAATGTGGCGTTTTCCTAAACCTGCATAACGTTAGTGACGTTGTCTTACCACGTTCAGACGAAATTCACCTTGAAACTTAAAGACGAGGGAAAATAACAATACCAATAAACCACAGTGCAAGCTCGCCACTCGGATCGAACACATTTTTACACGGGACACGTTATCCTTATGTCGTTCATTGTTTTATTTGAACATAAAGAGGAGTTCGAGCTTGCATGTTGATAAAATTTGGAGTTCACACCTTAGAAACAGATTATATCTCTCTGAACCTATGAAGTTTGTTAATACGTGAGACACCATACTACTGTGCCACTTCCCGGGTCACACATACCACGTCCGCTGCCCATAAAGTGCAAGTTTAGACGCGTCTGTTGGCGTTGAGATAACCGGCTTTGCGAACGCTTATAGCGAGAGATTTTGGAAGCTCGAGGTTTCGTCGCAGGACGGTTTTGGCTGGCAGCGTGCTCCTGGTGGTGTCGACCGGCTTCCTGGGAGTGGTGGCCATGGCTCTGATCTACTGGTACCGGGATTGCGATCCCATTCTCTTTGGCACCATCCACAAGATTGAACAGGTAAGCTAGAACACGCTGTACTTCATGAATAAATGTAATCAACATGGCTTGGACTGTTTCATGTCACTTGCCTGAAAATAGAAATGAGTTCCAAGTAAAATTATTGCTAGAAACGACATTCTATACCATGGGCAAAGACTGACGCAGACAGACGGACAGACAGACAGACAGACAGACAGATCTATCTATCTATCTATCTATCTATCTATCTATCTATCTATCTATCTATCTATCTATCTATCTATCTATCTATCTATCTATCTATCTATCTATCTATCTATCTATCTATCTATCTATCTATCTATCTATCTATCTATCTATCTATCTATCTATCTATCTATCTATCTATCTATCCATATCTTTCTATCTTTATCTGTCTATATCTATCTATCTTTATCTGTCTATATCTATCTATCTTTATCTATCTGTCTATATCTATCTATCTATCTATCTATCTATCTATCTATCTATCTATCTATATATATATATCTATATATCTATCTATCTATCTATCTATCTATCTATCTATCTATCTATCTATCTATATATCTATATATCTATCTATCTATATATCTATATCTATATTTATAACATGGTATGGCAGATAGAGAGAGAGATAAAGATACAAGGAAAGGCAGGGAGGTTAACCAGACGCACATCCGGTTTGCTACCCTGCACTGGGGAAGGGATAAAGGGGAGAAAAGAGGTTGCAGAAAGATGAGAAGGTACACACAATCACGAGCACACTCGGGGAGCACACACAGTTTACAGGCGGTCGCTCAGGTTTGTTGACTTAAGGTAAAGTAGCAATGCTTTAGTTGCTTTCTGTGCAACTGAGGCAGATGCCCAAGGTCCTAGTATCTTCTGCACACAAAATGGTCCGGGGTCAAGTCGATTCAAAACCATCCGTAGCTGGCATCGCTGTGTGTCGTAGCAAGCGCAGCTGCACAGGACGTGTTCTATGGTCTCTTCATCTCCGCAGTAGTCGCATGTAGGAGTGTCTGCCATACCAATGCGAAAGGAGTACACCTTTGTGAATGCAACACCCAACCAAAGGCGGCATAACAGTGTCGCATCGGAGCGGGAAAGTTGTGATGGTAGCTTTAGCTTGAGCGAAGGATCCAGTTCATAAAATTGACACCTTTGGAAGCTGGTAGACGACCAGAACGTGCGTGTGAGATCTCGAGCCAGCAGGTAAAGTTGTCTTGCTGCATCATTCCTTGATAGAGGAATCGGGACTACACGGGTTTCTTCATGGGCTGAGCGGGCTGCATCATCGGCTAATTGATTTCCGGTAACACCGATATGTCCAGGCAGCCATTGATATATAATATCATGCCCTCGTGCTAGAGCTTCATGATGGCAATGTCTTATTTCTTGTACCAGTTGGTCATGGCTCCTCCTACGCATGGCAGACTGCAAACTTTGAAGCGCTGCCTTCGAATCACAGAATATGACCCATTTTCCTGGACGTTCTTGAACGAGATATTGTAAAGCAGCCCTTATAGCAGCAAGCTCTGATGCCGTAGATGTAGTCATATGCGACAACTTAAACTTGATTGTCATTTCTGCAGCCGGAATTACAGCGGCACCTGATGAGCTGCTGGATGAGACGGACCCATCAGTGTATATCTGCGTTCGGTCTAAGTACAACTCATGTAATAATAGCAGTGTTGCTTGCTTCAATGCTACTCTGGAGTGACTGCTTTTCTTTTTGATTCCCGGAATTTCTAGACGTACTTGCGGCTGGTCGAGGCACCACAAAGGGCATGCCGTTCTCGCAGCTGGTGTATATCCTGATGGAATGCTGTTTAGGTGCTTGGCTATGACGTCTGAAAACGTAGCACGTGGTCTTCCGGAAGGTAGAAGGGCCAAGTGGTGGTCGGGGACACGGCTAGCAGGTCGAATGTGCGCTCTGAGGCAATCCACAACTATATATGTCCTGACCGGATGGTCTTAGGCAAGCATGATTGGCGTCACCGCACCAAGCGTGCGCGCGCATCAACGCTACATTGTAGTATATTGGGCTCTTCATGATGCGCTCGCGGCCGTTTTGCTAGCTCCACATATACGAAATTTGGTGTTACGTGACATCAATGGATGACTAAATATATGACTGGTGCAAACATGATAATCCTGACACGCGTGTCATGTAAGAACATGACAACATACCACGCTCATAGCGAGCTCGGGGCCGTTTCTGTAGCTCCACATATACTAAATTTGGCATCACGTGACGTGAATAGATGACGAAGGTAAACGACACATCCAAACATGATAATCATGGCACGCAATTCCTGTACGGCATCATTTACCTCCACCTCGTATAACGTTGTGCTGATCTTAAAGGGATATAGCAACAATTCTCATTCATGCTTCGCATATCGTCGATTCTCACTGTACGTGGGATCTGCCAATTTTTTTATATATAAGGAACTTGAGCGCCTTGGTAAAATTTCCCGGAAATTCTGAAACCACTGCTACTGCAAACGTAATGTTTTAAGCAGTAATGCCGAAGCTTTTAAGTCATAATATGCATAGTACGAACCGGTGGCGAGTATCGGAACGTACCCACAATTTGTGGTGCATACGCGTTTTTAATGAACCGTGACGACAACAAGACATGCCGACAAGCCGAGACATTAAGGCGCTTCGCCCCTAAAATATTTACGTGAACCGTAATAAGCACACTCCTGTTTTAGGCCAAACTGCTGACACTGACTACAGTTTGGCATATTAGAATAACAGTAAGTAAGGATCCCATAGGCTTATAGCCTACGTGCTCGCTGTCTCTCGAAAAAATTGAAGACAAGAAAGAACATATCTGGAGGTGTGAACACAAGGTTTACCGCTCTTTGGTGATGTTTTTTTATGGGGGGGGGGGGGGGGGGAAGGGGATACTTTTTATTGGGTATAATAGGTGTACCATAGAAGATCAGAATATGCGTGTACATTATATTATATAACCACCTGTAAAATGACCTGCCCTGTAATCATGGTCAGGTTGGTGACACTCAAAGAGAAAGGTTCCTTAATCGGTGTCTAAGTAATTTGTCTGGCTTTACACCCGCAGTTCCAGCTGACACCACTCACTCCTGAAATCATGTCGCACCCATCCTCACTCCTCACACACTCACGCACACGTGTGCGAGTAGTGCTGAAATACCTTACGCATTGACAAACATGGCGTAACAAGCTTCTAAAGAGCGTCTGGCCCAAATCAGTGTCTGTTATACAGACACTAGACGGCGCCTAATTGCACGCAAAGTCACTACAGTTACGCTGCTATATGGTCAGAAAATGTGTTCGTTCTTGATGAAGCTACCCACGGACTAGATTTAGAGTGGGTTTTAGGACTACATTCAAGGCCGAATAGCCTGCACGACCCAGTCACATTCAAATAAAATAAAGCTTTAGTGTAGAAATGTGTTTGTATGCAGCTGATGACACTGTTTTTGGCGTCAGCATTGGTACTCTTCAGTGGCTCAATTCAAAAAGATTCTTGTTCGTGTAGTTCTCCTTATCATTGGCCGGCTGCTTTCTCTAAATACACAAACAGGGCGAAGATTGATTGATGCGCTAAGTGCATTCCTGGCGTACCTGCTTTCCGTGAATACGAGTCCACGGTATCTCGGGCAGCGTTTCCGAATGGAATGTTTCGATTCAAAACAAAGGATCACCTTGTATCCCCTGTTTCGAATATTCGCAAGAGATCTGCCTACAGCATAGCGACGTACACGTCACTGTATTTTTTTTTGTACTTGGCGCAGTTGATCCCGCTGTACGTGCACACGAGGCTCTCTGGCATGCCTGGATTCTCGGGGCTCTTTGTCACTGGCGTCGTGAGCGCCACGCTCAGGTGAGATCCCCTGTGAAGAATCCTTGAACACAACGTCCCAAAGCAAACCAGGTATACACGCTATATATACCTAAGCTGATTAAGACACTTGAAACGAAATGCTAAGAGTAACTCTGCCCATTTTGTTAAATATAATTTATCACAAAATGTTACTGATATTTCTTGTTGCAGGCCTACGCTTCATGTTTTCTTTGTGAGCTGGTATCTAAAATGTCAGTTCTGAGCTTCACTTTTGATGTAGTGTTTCCACTTTCTCGTCATTTCTTTCTCTCGCTGAATTACGTGTATGCGTTGTGTACTCTCGGTGATCATGTGCAAAAATAATGTACGCTCGCTTCGTGCTTGCTGAACTGTAATCGGCTCGCAAGAGCTCTTGCTTCCCATGCCCTCTACTTCCTGCAGTAGTAAGTAAATAATTGATTGAAGAGTTTCGGATAAATCTATATGACATGACCCGTCAATTTTTTTGAAAACAAACCGAAATGCTGCGTTGCATTTTTGGGGTGTGGCGTATATTTCTGTCTAAATAAATACATATGAAACGCAAAAAGTATAAAGAAAGTATAAAGAAATAAAACGTACAAACATAATGAGAAAAAATCTTAGGACTATGACAAAAAAAATGAAATGCACTACCTGAAGATTTAAAATATCTCGAAGAAAATCATAACTACTGCAACCAGCAAAGCCAAAATAAGGGAGAAATGAGAAAAAGATGTAAAGCTTACTTCACGTTAGCACTGAAGCCAGCCCAATTTTACTTTGATATATGCTGCTTCAGTCTCTATAGACAAGTACGGCCTCCTCGGTGGAACAGTGGGTAGGCTACTCGGCTGCTGGCCAGAAGGTCACGAGTTCGATCACGGCCGTGGCAGTCGCATTTCAATGTAGGCGAACTGTTAGAGGCCTGTGTACTATGCGATGTCAGTGCACAATAGAAAAACACCAGAAGGTCAAAATTTCCGCAGCGCTCCACTACGGCTTCTCTCATCACATCGTATTTTTGGGGGATGTAGGACCCCAGATATTATTATTTCTAAGCCAGCTAGCTCTCCATGGTAGCGTAGTGGGTATATCATTGTCAACCAGCCAAGCGAAATGCCGCAGGTTAAGATACATACCGCAACGGCCACATTTTCATGGGCCGAAATAAAAAGAAGAAAAAAAATATTTAGGAAGAAATCAAACGCCAGATGCTCAAAATTAATCTTGAGACATCCAATACGACGTCCCTCACAACCTTATCGATGTTTCGACACCTAAAGCTCCCGACCGAAGTGGTGACTGAGTGGAGCTTGCAACATATTGGGGGGAAACAGCGTGAAAGACAAAAGACCAGGCAGAGAAGGGCACATACATCTTGTCAACTTACAAGAGAGAGAGAGATAAAGATGCGAGGAAAGGCAGGGAGGTTAACCAGACGCACATCCGGTTTGCTACCCTGCACTGAAGAAGGAATGAAGGGGAGAAAAGAGGTTGCAGAGAGGTAAGAAGGTACACACACTTGTCATATAAGGCACCGGCAAAAAAAAAAAAAAAAACTCCAGATGTGAGCAGCCTGCTTTCACAGGAACATTTGAGTCAGCGTACCATTAATATACTTGCAGCACAGTGACCTCCGCTGTGAATTCCCTCGCTGCTACCACCTACGTGGACATGCTGGCTCCGTACATGAATATTCAGGAACGCTGGGTCAGCATGATCACCAAGGGACTCGGTGAGAATCTTCCTGCTTCTTTGTGACACAACCACATAGCGTTGTTTGGAAAAAGTGTTTAACGACTCAGAGTACTCAGTACTCTATTATGGGAGAGCATAAAGACGTCCAACTCGAGGAGTTTGTTGCATGCATTTTGTCAGTGATGCTCGTAAACAGCTTAAGAAACAATGGTTTGTGCTTAATGGTCAGTGGAGACTTTTGAAAGGTTGACGCCATATGCAGGATCGTCTCATTCAAAATGTACACGCCGTTAATGAACTGCTTATTTAGAGTGTAGGCTTTTGTTTATCATTTGAGCGAACGCGAATAACTTTTAAATGTTCCACCAATTTTTAATATATACATAATGAGCACGCGGTCACGTAAACGGACATTTACCTGAAACAAAATGTGAGCAAAAGTAAACCGTGGACTCCACTGTCGGCAAGTGAGTGCAATGAACTATAGGTATTTGTACTTTATTATTATTCTTAATATTTTATTATTATTATTGCGTATTCGCAGCACTCTTACAACTTCTCGCGGTACATTTGATGGTGTGTGATTACCTCAGGCAAAAAAAAAAGACATAACCACAAACGCTTCAGTGCAAGTAGATGTGTTCAAGCAGTGGTGCTTTCCGCACGATCATAATGCTGCCAAATGAAACACCGCACACAAAAAAAGTTTTATTTGAATACGGTCGCCTCCTGTCTCATTTTCCTCCGAACACGCACTCTCTTCCCTTAGTTTGTATACTCTCCAAACTTTCGCGTGACTTGGCGTTCGTGATACTTTTTCCAGCCTTTGCCTCCGGATTGTTGATGACTTTTCTGGCGCTGGCTATTCCGTACATTGGTTCAGCAGTGCGGGTAAGCCTACTCCCACGTCATTGTACTACCGTAGACGTTTAGCAAAGCTTCCATTTGGGCTAGTTTCTGCGGCATTGTAATCTGGTGCACAAACGGCTGACGGAAATTATCACAGGACAAGAGTACTGGACAAATAGGATAGAACAAGAGGGTTTTGCTCACCTCATGTCCTGTCCTATTTTCGGTCAGTCGTTTGTGCATTTCGTTCAATGTAACTACAATACCGGAGACAACGAGAACAGGTGCATGCCTTTCTCCACCGCGTGTTTGGGATATTTTGTCGTGAATACGTTCGTGGTTAGGTTTGAAAAACGTAAATATAACAATATGGCGTGCTGCCTTACATTAGGCAAAATGCGGGAAGACGGAAAAGAAAGTGGACGAAGCGTAGTGCTCCATGGCAGCAGTGACTTGAGAGAGGACCACCACTGATTGTCTGGTTGTATCGACTTGCATCAAGAGCAATCGTAATCTTTTAGTAGAAATCTTTGCCCCCGAACTTGTAATCTCATAACAGACTGCGGGGCTAGTTGGCTATTCAGAAAAGCTTGCGAGGGGGCTAGTTGGAACATACTGCCGGAAAAGGCTGCGCCGCAAAGTTGAGGACGAGAAACTGGACTGTGCCAGTCCAGTCTTTCGTCCTCAACTTTGGAGCACGGCCTTTTTTTGCATTAGTTGGCTATCCACGAACACTAACAGAGTAAGCTTTAAATAGGCGCCGATTAAGCACCAGTTCTGAATGCTATCCTTTTTATACGCGTGTTCTTCTCGACCTTTAGCGCCTTTTCTTCGTGTTCTTGTAAACTAGTGGCGAGTGCCTGGATCGTCTCTTATAGGCTAGAGTCGACGTCAACAAATAGATACACCGATTTTCTCGCCAATGGCTCTTGCAGGGGGGCTGTCTCTGCAGTAGTCGGCGTCGGTATGCGTCTGCGCATACCAAGTTGAAAATTCTGGAAGACCGAAATAATGTTTACAGAAGTAGCGACAGCAAAAAGTTCGTCGCTAAAATACAATTCGGGATGGTGAGCTTTCATAATTAATGTGCCGTGGCTTTTGATCGTGTGATGCCACTGGACGTTAATTATAGTGGCGAATCTGCTGCGGAGCAACGCATAAATTTCTGCAATAATCCGCATTCGGTCCTTTTACTTTTTTCAGTGGGGGTTTGTAATAAAACAAGTTAATTTGGCCGGGCGAATTGTGTAATGAGTAGGGTGCATCGAATATCCAAAGTGTACTTCTTGCGTATATGTGGTATCCATTACTATGCCTCGTGAATGTTTTTGCGTTGATAGTTTTATACCATGAAATACGCAACTAGTTGTAACAACCGGTTGTCTTAATTCTGCCACAGGTGTTTATGGTTATGCACAGCAGCACTGCAGGTCCATTCGTTGGCATCTATCTTCTGGCGTTGGCATTTCCATGGGCCAATACAAAGGCAAGCACCAGATATATTGTTGCAGAACATTTTTGTCCCTTTTTATTTCGTGTTTTACGAATAACCTAAGTAATAAAGTTGTAATTATGCTTTTGACGCATTAAACTATGACACATGGAACGTTAAAACTTCCTGGTTCTATCCGCAAGAACAATAAAGTCTATAAGCTAGATCCCTCTATTTTGTATAAGGTTAAATACTCTTTGTGAACGCTACAACTAATGTGATACTAAGGTTTCACATGCCAAAACTGTGATATGATAGTGAAGTGCACCGTAGCGGGGACACCACATTAATTTTCACCACCTGTAGCTCTATATCTAACTGAAAAGCTATAAACTGAAGTTTTAACCATCGAGAAGTTTCGGGAAGGATAACTCCTCTAATCTAATTGTAGCTGAAGTAGCTTAGCTTGCATATATGAAAAGAAATGAACGATGAATCAAGGAGCAGAGTAACTGAAACACGAAGATTCTCAGACTGCGACTCCGTATATAAAAAGGGAATGAAAATGAGATATAGTTGTGTCCCAAGTTGTGGGGAAAGAAGGGCAGCTTGAAACAATACGAGCTTTAACCAGAGCTTTAACATGGCGGCTTTTTTAGCGCTCTCATATATTTTGCCGAGATTCTCTGCAGGGAAATTGGCAGATAGCGCGCGAGATGTTATTCGTAATTCGACAGCATTACGACGTACGAAGAGTGCAAATCGCATTCCTTGTTCACGACATCTGCGTGCCAGCTTTACATCGAGCATGTACTGTGACTACAAGTCGCGTGACTCCGCTCGCAGGGCGTCGTTGTGTCTGCGTCTCTCACCACGGCCTTCCAACTGTGGGTGATGAGTGGCAAGCTGTTCAATGGCGTCCGACCCCCTTCCATGGAGGTAACACTCGACCACTGCCCCGGTAACGCTACCATGCTGGCCGCTATCGTCGCATCGAAGATGGCAGCCGCTGCAGCCGCCAGGTACGTCACTCAAACTGCAGGGATGAGGTTAAGGGCAAATTGGTGGCGAGCCGCGCAAGCACAAATGAGGTATAACAACAAATAAAGGCCGGCACAGTCCGACTGTTTGCCTGTCTTCTTCCCTCCTTTGTGCTTGCGCAGTGTGCCATCAGTTGAAACGAACTAGCTCACAGGAAGGTCTTACCAGGGGTGAGGTTCGTATAGCAACCACGGTATACTAGATCGTTACACCATGGTAGCTGCACACTATGGATGCATCACAGTTTTTCTTCGTAAGAGGAGCGCTCAAGACAGTGAGACAGGGCTACACGTTGCGCTGTCACCTGTAATGTATCGTATTTCTGCTTCGGTACGCTAACTAGATCGCAAGTAATTCAAACGCCACAGTGGCCGTGAACAGGATGTGTGGTCATGACTGCGTTGCTCCTCGGAATTTATTCATGACTTCCGCGCATAAAAAATAATTGTACGGCAGTTAAATCACACCATGTGTCTTTTATCTTAAGTGTTTTCAGGGAGGTGGTTGTGAAACACTTCTCTGTCGATATGAATCTTCCGCCTTTTGCGCAGAACTGCGACTGTTTGGAAATACCCCCCCCCCCCCCCCCCGTACGTTACTGATGAAATAATGCGGCAGGCTCATGTATCTTATGTCCCATCCATACATAAAGACCGGCATTTTGCTCGGGATACCTTCGATACAAACTTGCACTCGGCATCGTTTAAATGTAGCTCGATATTCAGGCTAATAACTTAAAGGCGTTGCTATAGGCAATGCTCTTTCCAAGTAGTTTGTTACTATTAAACTGCTAATGGTACATGACATGAATTTGGTTATAACTGAGGAATCACTTTCATGTGATTGACTTGCCGTTGTGCTACTTGGTTCATGAACAATTAATTAGTCGTGGTAGTACATTGAGCGAGTACGATCATTGTATACATGAGTAGCGCTCGATAGCGCTACTGATGCCTTGTTTTTCTGTTCATGCTTGATTTTCGCATTAACTTAGATCATCTGTCATTTTTTTTCTTTTCCCCATGTGTCGGAGCAGCAAGCGCGACATCTTCCCCCTCTACCGGCTGTCTAGCTATTGGAGCGGCCTCATGGCTTCCTTGTTGACTGTCACCATTGGACTCGCAGTCAGCATCGCCACAGGTTAGTAACTAGCCGACGATCAACTGACAAGTGGTGAAGCGCGGCGGCATTTATAAAAGTGTCATCGAATATTCCAGCCTTATCACTGGTCATCGCGCAAGTTCTGGAAATATCTCGAGTGTTAGCGTCTAGCGGGCAATCTTAGATCGATCTAGAATGATCGCGAACGTTCTCGAACAATAATGCGCAGTTTGCTCTGAGCATTCTAGACGAAGGCTTAGTGGGCGAAAAGCAAATCAAACAAAGGTCAAAATAGGAAACGTGCGTGGCAATATGCGCCTGTATTCTCTTTCCTTTGTTGTGCAGCCTACGTTGTAATTGTAACGTTGTGCAATCATCAGTCCTACACGCAGGGGTTTCGAATACAACTTATTGTTGGCGTCACCTTTGCGAAGGATTGCGATGTTTCGAGTTCGTTTGCTCATGTAGTTTGATCAACAGTCACCCTTTGTCTTATGTGCATCTCGATGCAGGAGGCAACAGGAACATTGCGAAACACATTCCCCTCACGAGTGAGGTCTTCCTCCAGCTCTGGGGTAAGACGAAACTGCTCAAGGTGAGTCTCGTGTGACGGCGGCTATTTAACATGAAGATTCGTGTGGCGCAGTGGGCGCACATAATATTTACTTAGCAGGAAGTGATTACCTCTCGAATATCTCGAGTTATCACCACATACCTCCACAGCAGGCGTAATTTACCCAATGAAGTGGGTGTTGATCTACGTTTGTGGGTGAAACGTTTATGAGAAGGCAATTAACAACAATTAAGGGTGGATTTTGAAATTCGTAATAACATTCTACCAACATATTTCTTAATGTGTTTGTTGGTCAGATACATCGTATCTGGCGTTCCCGCTGTTGTCCCAGATGAAACAATGAAAAACGACGATTTTTATTTGAATCCAATGTAACACATGGTGCTCTCGACGAAGTGATATGCTTCAATCTTATGCGCTAAGATACTCCGCTATCATTTGACGATGATTATGCATTCAACTCGTCACCTAATATTATCTTTGTTTTGTATGTCCCAAAGCCATGTTGCGATTGTGAGGGACGCCGCAGTAGATGCCTCCAGAAATTTAGACTATCTGGGGTTTTTTATCGTGCACTGACATCGCACAGTACACGGTCTTCTACTATTTCGCCTCCATTCAAATGGGACTGCCACGGCCGGGATCAAAACCTCGACCTTCGCGTCAAGAGCGGAGCATTTACTACCACTGCTATACCGCGGCGGACCGCTCGTCATCTATGGATCCGTTGATGACAGTTGAATAGGTGTTTGGATTAAAATGAAAAGACGCGAATCGCACCAACAGTAAACGTGAGAACAATGGTTTCGGTTGCATATCACTCATGAGGTTTGCTACGAGAGCAACATTAATTAAGGTGTAGTGTGGTGTGGTGTCTCAGGAAACGGGTGATGACTCGAGATACCGCAGCACATTAAAAAAAAAAGAAAACCTTTCTCACGTAAAAACTTGCAGCCTCCTAGTGATGGCCGGGACTGCTGTGGTCACGCTACCACCGACGCGCGTGAACTGCGAACCATAACAGCGAACGTAGAGAAGGAAGGACGGATGAGACGACGCAGCTGACATAGGTGTTCTCTGTCACGATTTTCCTCTTCATGCTGTTCGCAAAACTAATAAAATTTGTTTTTGTAACCACATGAAATTGTGTTACAGGCAGACGTGTTGCTGTCTCCTTTTTCTTCTTCAGAAAAAAAAGTGAAAATTCCGGACGATGCAACGCTTGCACGAAAAGGCGAGTGTTTGCAACGCTTTGCTAAGACGACACGGTGGTGGAACCTACCCGTCGCCTTGCGTTCTACACCTTATCACCTCTGAGACGGGCGCCAGTCTCAGGGCCACGCGCTTTGTTTTCCAAAAAAAAAAAAAACTGCTAGATGGCGCTCATGTCTCACGTGTGATGTGACGTGATGTGCTCGTTCGCCTTCGCTGCACGCTCGAGGCACTAACGCAGCCGCCTCCGGAATACCATACACCGATTTTCTTGCGCAGAGCATTAAATAAATATTTTGCTTCACTCTATCCACATATATACATTTCAAGATTATATGCAGGTACGGAGGCAGTTTTTTTTTATTCTATCGCATTTATTTTTGTCCTTGCGATGAAATTGCGCCATCTTTGTTTTTTTTTATTTGAATATGTGCAACGTAATGTGGCTGCATGCGACAGAACTTGTCACCTACTACCATCGTGCACAGTTTTTTTTCAATAGGCTCCTTTCTTTTCCCTTTTTAAAAGGAAACAAAAAACTAACGAAAACCATATTCAACAAGCACCTCGTTTATGCCTGATCAACAGGCTGGTGCCTCAATGCCATGTAACTAATGTTTATGTAATAGGACTGCTCAAAAAGCTGAATATGCGGACACTCATGCGGGTTAGCGATGACTTCATCATAACACGTCTCTAAAACAGTCTATTTGTACTTGAAGGCATGTAAAACAACTTCTAGCTGGTCAAAACTCATCCATAATCACCCGTCACCGTATGCTTCATAAACAAGATGTCGTTTGGGCATAGGATATGCGCTATTTTCTTGTCTCGCCAAGTATCAACCATCGCGTGACCAGCTGTGTTGTATTTGCCTCGTGATTAGCCCTCACTCCATCATAATTATGCACGCGACATGACAGACGTTCGTTCTGTCATAACCGCCACTCCAGCACGCCCGCTGTTGTTTGTCGTCGGCGCTTGATATTTAGGCACGATTGCTCGTTGAACTGGTGTATACTTATGCCGAAAAAAATATGTGTGACAATTAAAAATTCGGTAGATTCCGCGTACCTGGGAATCGACGTTATTCGAAGCATGCGGAGGGAAGGTGACCGTGTTGCAATTTTTTTTTATTGAGCGACCACTTCATGAAATGACGCTAAATATATGTACGAATGTTGCACACAGACATATGTCGAAAGAGTCGAAGATGTTTATATAACCAGTTGTTCGCACTTGCGCCACGATGCCAACTGGGACATGCGTATTAGTAACGCTAGAAGCTGATACGAAGCGCCGATTCTGGCGAGGATGCTGGCCCTAGGCACTGCTACATAAATCAACTTTAGCATGGCACCTAACCACAATTGACGTTAACCCGACGTGACCGCTGTATCATTTCATTTCATTTCATTTATTTATACTGTTAGCCCAGAAGTGGGCCGTTACAGGGTGGAAGTACAAACAATTATTCGCAAAAAAGAAGTACCGTACAGGTCTCGAGATAATTTCTCGGTATTATTGTGACCAGCAACTCGAAGTTATACATAACATATATAAATGGAACACACATGCGATGCAATACATACGCGCAGAACAGCACATGACGCATTTGAGGCGGCACTTTTGCACCGCGCTGAAGATTTGAAAGACAACTACTGCAGAATCATGCAACCAACAAAAAGTACACACACACGCCAAAAAATCAAAAAACATATGTCACTGTTATTCGGAAAATAAACGTTTTAGATTCTGTTCAAAGGATGTAAGCGAGGAACAACCAATTATAGACTCTGGCAGCATATTCCAATCTTCAATAGCACGTGGAAAGTAACTGAATTTAAAGCAATCGTTACGTGGGACTAGGGGTGGTATATACATATTATGGCGATGTCTGGAGTGTTCTTGTGTGTTGACCTGGAAGTAATCTGATGTAATAATTATAAAATTGGCCAGGCAACATTGCAACCACTATCGACGTTTGACGAAGATTGGCGTCTATTTGAAAAGTAGTTACCAAACAACCTGGCGTAGCTCTGTGGTAAAATGCTTCATTGCCACACAGAATGCTTGTGTTCGATTGCAGCTGGGACCCTGAGAGTTACTATTTGCATTCGCCGGGTCAACGCAACCGATGTCGGGTATTTAAAAATCTAAATGCTGACGCGTTAAAATTGCCCATGTGAGTTCTCGGCGTTCCTGGGTAGATACTAAGTGTCAATCACCTGTGCCACATACCAGCGGCACGTACCCGCCCGTGGGTATGTGCCACTGTCTGGCGGGAAGTGCTTGACGACGTACGCGACGGGATTGTGACATTATTCATGTATTGACCAGTGCGTCATATTCGTCCATGTGGTTGATTGGGCGAGTTGGTGATACATGACTGTTTTTTGAAATGAGAGCGCACTGCTTAGACGTGGACAGAAAGACAGGGACAAGCGCTTACTACCCACTGAAAATTTATTCGGAAAACTAAGAAGTATATACTGACAGATCAAACAGTGTCATGGCACACACGATAAGACCAAATCATGGACCAAATTAACAGAACCGATAAAAGATCTATGTACGTCAGCCCACCCTACCAACGCCTACTGTGCTTTCGAGTGATTACTTAACTCCTATGGCGTCTGCTACTGTCTAAAAATGATAACTCCTTATCGGACAGAGCTATCGATGGTTTGGTCACGCAAGTCTGGTGTTCACGTGCTATGTATGCTGCCTCAATTATAAGCCTTGTGCGCTCCTCTTTAGGTTTGTAAAGTACGACTGTGTTATCAAACTGTACTTCACAGCCACATCTAGTGACATGCTGGGCCAGAAAACCATCGTTGCCGCTGCGAACATTGCACGCATGCTCAGGCAATCTGTCGTTGATGCATCTTCCAGTTTGCCCAATATAACAGGCACCGCACCAAAGTATGATCATGTAAACAACGTTGCTAATGCAATTGACAAAACGGCTTTGGTGCTTTGTTTTGCACAGCTGTTTCTTGTGTCTAGCGGCACATGTCAGCCTAGCCAGCTGAGAAAGCTTATGTGGCGCGGAGGAAACTACACGCACTCCCATGCGTTGCCCCACCCTTTTGGTTGGTGACGTCACGATTCCTGACTTCGTGCAAAAGACGTTAAGCCTAGGCCCAAAGTTCGCCTTCGTGAGGAGCGAGACCCTCTGACCTGCTAGCCATTGTTAGAAGTATATCTAGTCGTGTTCCCCAAGAAGACTCTAGCTGGTGCATTTCGGAAGGACTTGACATACTTCAACGCGGTAAGCCTGTCAGTAGTCACATGCCTTTAAGCCGGACCATAAACTTTCTAATCGACAATGATCTGTGCGCGGTGCCTTCAGAGAAAGAGGGAGGTTTTGCAGTGCTTAGAAAAAGTCAGTTTTTCGAAAAAGCGCAGTCCGCCGTTAGTTCTGTGTTTGGTAATTTCGCCAGCATTGATTTGCGAAAAGTGAAAGCAAAAGCAAAGTACCTATGCCGAGAACTCAACTTCCTAGGTTTAGTGAAAAGTGTAGATAAGTGTGATAAACTTTCACTGGATTTAATTTTTTTTTCAGCTAGATCACATAAGCCTGATGTACCTTTTAGAGTTATAATATCTGAGTGCGCTTCCCGGCGAAAGAATGTAGGGGTCCTTTTGCAAGACAAGCTGAAACTTTTCACCATTAATGACCCATTTTTAATTAAGAAGTCGGGTGTTGTTATCAAGTTTTTCCGACAAGAGTGTCAGACAGGTCTCATGCATTTTCAATAGATGTAAAAGATCTTTATTATTCTTTGCCTCATGATGCGTTGCTC